CAAATTTCTCTGGGTTTGAACATTGTTGGGATAATGTAAGTACACAACTCAACTACATATAGAACATAGCTAGAGTTTATAGACTCTTGGTACACAACTGTTTTAATCAAGAGAGGAAGGTGCTCTATAAGCAAGCAATTTGTTTAAATACAAGCAGTAGAATGTTTGTGTGAACCATATTAATGAATATGTGTGTGTTTATTTCCTGTTCCTGAACAACACATGCTGTTCCTCTGCAGATGTGGCCACTGTGGTTGGCTACCTGGTGGTTAGCCGGCCATTCCTAAACCTGACAGATCCGCGACACCTGCACAGCTCACACTCTGAGCTGCTGGAGGTCAAAGAAAGCTCACACACACACACTTGCACTCAGACACACACACACTTGCACTCAGACACACACACACACAGCATCTTTTCCATCCAAGTAAGATAGATTCTGCTGCTTTGTCACATGGTTATTAGAGGCCACTGTTGGGGGTAACGCTTTACAAAGAAACTGTAATCACATTACATTTGTCTGTACAGCAGTAATGTAGTATGCAGCATTAAGGTAATTTTGACGGTAATAAACATCTTATTCTACCTTTTAAAATGAAGAAACACCAGTGGCTCTCTGGTAGAAAACATAAAACGGTTACTTGCTTTGCAATAATGTTTTGGGGCTGTGAGCTTTAACTGATGTGATTGGATCTCTGTGGCCTGTAGGACTATTACCAGAGTGGGAGAATGCTCCTGAGAATGTCCCAGGCCCTGGGCAGGATTGTACTGGCTGGCCGAGAGATGACCCGCCTTGCAGGGTAAGTGTTACGGGATATTACTAAAAAAGTCATTTTAAAAAGTCTTAGCTCATAGATATGTCCAGAGTCTGAATGTCCTGGTGTTTTTCAATGATCTGTTAATACTGTAGGAGTAATCAGTTAAATGGGATAACTTAACTTTACCTCTCTATGAAGCTTTTTGACGGGTCACTTCCTTCAGAGTAGACTTTGTCTGTTAAATTGATGGTGTTATGTTAATTGTTACAGCTCTACAAATATCCAATTCACATTATTAACTTATGTATTCTGATATGACTGTTCAGGTGTCATCGGTGTGTGAATGTGCATGAATGAGTTAGTTTCTGTTCTATGGCCATCACTAAGTGAATGTGTGTCAAAGAGCGAATGTGGCGTGTAGTGTAAAAGTGCTGAGTGGTCGGTAGACTAGAATGGTGCTATACAAATACAGGTCCATCCATTTACAACATTACAAAAAATCTGACCTATGTCTGATTTGGACCACATATTAAAATCTCCCAAAACAGAATAGAATAGATTCCATGTGGTTTGTGCTGTTCACACTGTCATGGATCTGAGTGACATATGAGTAAAAACCACAGATTTGGGTCACTTTGGCCTACAGTGTAAATGTTGAACAATTAAATAATATACTCCCTTCCAAAAAAGGCAGGGCTAGAATCTGTTCAAATGTGTGTCTGATTTTTTTTATCCATGTGTATGTCGCCCACAGATTCACAGCTCGTATCACTGAACTCATAAAAGTCCTGAAGGAGCTGAATGCTGGAAAATATGAACGCACCATGGTCTCTCAGCATGAGAAGGGTACATACACGACTCCTTAGCATTCTCATCTCAGATAACTGGAACTGTGCAGCTTATCTGATTTCTGATTTATTCCATTCACCTTAGAATCAGACACTGCAGAGAAACTCGTACTAGTGCCTGGAAGTGGTCAAATCATCAAAAAAGATAACATCATTAAGTAGGTCTTATATTCTGCCCTGCACTATACATTTCATTTATTTATATTTTTTTGTCTTTCTTTTTATGAGCTCTGCTTTAAAGCAACATTTTATTTATTTGGCAGATTCGAGCATACCCCACTAGCAACACCTAATGGAGACATCTTGATCAGAGACCTCACATTTGAGGTAAAGCTCTCATCTCCCATTAGCATATCTAACTGTGATCGACTGAACTAACAATTGGAATTTATTTGTTTGGAAAACCAAGTTGAATTTTATGTATTTATTTATTTTACTATGTGGGCATATGAATGATTATGAGTTGCATACAAGTGTTTCTCTGTCATATTATATTCCTGAAGGTGAGGTCTGGTACCAACGTTCTTGTGTGTGGACCAAACGGCTGTGGAAAGAGCTCTCTGTTCAGAGCGCTTGGAGAGGTTAGGAACCTCCCAGTTAACAGTGGTTTACGATCCAAAATAATGTGCATGTGTTTGATTTTTTTTCTTTGGTATGTAAAGCAATTATACACGTTTTGTTTTTTTAAGCTGTGGCCTCTGTTTGGTGGACACCTAACAAAACCTGAGAGAGGGAAACTCTTCTACGTTCCACAGGTAAAAATCCTCTGTAGGCCATGTTTTCTGTTCCACCACAATGGCAGCTATGTTCCCATGCTAGCTTTTAGCAGCATCTTTAGCTCGACAAAGCCAAATTTGTTCAAGGCAGGAGTCATTAAGAATTGTGACAGATATCTATACTGGGACAGAACATTTATTCATAGATAACAAACAAGATAGCAGTAACTACATTTTGAACCGTAAACTCCACTGGAATAAAGTATTATTATTGCTACAGTTAC